TGTGTGTATATAAATTGACTCCCCTCTCACCCCTAGTTAGGGGTTAGCTAGCATCTGAAGTGCTCTAATCAGGAACCTGCACTCCAGAGCTTGGTTACATGAGCACTTCGAGCAATATCCAGATCTACACCTGAGGGCTTAACGTGCTTGAGGGATGCTAGAGATAATTTTTCATCGGTAAAATAAGTGATTTTCAAAACTTGGAGTTGACCAGGAAGATTACCTGCTCTGGCATGCACAAGGTGTAAGAACCAGACCAGGCCAACTGCCAGACTCCTTGGAAGCAGGTTGTGACTGTTTTGTGCCTGCTTGACAATATATGTATATTTGGCAGGATCTGGCCCTAGCCATTTTTAATATCCCACCTGTAGGAGGTTATAGAAGAGAAGACAAATGGCCTCCACTCAGCTCTCATGTCTACTGCTAATACAAGAACCCAACAATTGACGAAAGGAAGGCCAAATTGGTTCAGACTAGTTGACAGTGGGTGCCCATCCTGGCCTCATCTCTTCTCACAAGACTGCCCTAACTGATCCTTCAACTCAGGGCATTTGATGTCCCATCTCTCTGCTCCATCCTCCATTTTCCATTGTCAGGCCACCTTTAATAATAAGCTAACAATATGAACTTTAGGTGTGGTGGTGGGTACCAGTTCTCCATGGATCCTTCGAGTGTTCTGGGGCCTTTCCAGTAGGCTTCTGGGGCTCCCTGCTACCACCCAGCACTGCTGCTCTCCTTCCACCACAGCACCAGCCAAAGGTGGAGCCCAGGTGGCCTTTTCTTTATATCAGCTCTGCAAAATCCCTTTCTGTAGGATTTAACTCTGGGACTGTGGTGACTTCCTCATAATCCTGCTTATTCCTCCAACTCTCAAATATTCTGACCTCAAGGGTAGCAGTGGTAGGAAATAATTTCTCCATTTCACAATAGGACAAATTGAGGCAGGAAGCAAGGAAGTGGCTTAGCCAAGCTTATAGTCATGGGAATCTAATAGAGTACCTGGAACAACTTAAACTCAGCTACTATAAACGAATGAAAGGGAGGGAGGGAAGGAGGGAAGAAGAGAGGGACATCAGCGTGGGCTGATGCTATTGTCTGCATTTGGCTAGTGACCACAGTTTGACAGTTTGAGTCTCAGTTCCATGGAAGGCTACATAGAAAGTGCCTTAAGACAGAAAGATTGGCTGGGCACAGTGGCTTATGCCTATAATCCTAGCACTCTGGGAGGCCGAGGTGGGAGGATAGCTGGAGCTCAGGAGTTTGAGACCTGCCTGAGGAAGACTGAGACCCGGTCACTACTAAGCATAGAAAAATTAGCTGGGCATCATGGCGTGTGCCTATAGTCTCAGCTACTTGGGAGGTCGAGGCAGGAGGATCGCTTGAGCCCAGGAGTTTGAGGTTGCAGTGAGCTATGGTGACACCACTGTACTCTACCCGGAGCAACAGAGTGAGACTCTGTCTCAAAAAACAAACAAACAAACAAAAGACAGAAAGATTGTGGGGGGAAAAAAATGTCTCACACATCCCAACCCTTAATCTCAGGGTTCAATTAGAGATGGGCTAGCTTAGAGGTCCCCATGGATTCATCCCTGGGTGGGTTGGTGTGGAGGCTGTGGTTGAGGGTGCCCAGGATCTAGGCCTCCCTGGAGCCAGAACGGCGGCCTCTGCTGATTGGACCAATGGGGAAGGAGGAAGAGAAACCAGAAACCCAACTAGAGGACCTTGGGAGGGAGGCAGATAGGACCATCCCAGGCTGCCTGCATGAGGTGGCTGGGGTCAGGTAAGGAGGAAACCACAACAGGCTGATGGAACAATCCCTAACGTTAGATGGGAAACTCTATTCGGCCCTCTGATATCCCTGTTGGCTGGTTATTGATTAACTGCAGTGCTCCAGAAATGCCAGGGTCCAGGGATGTAGGAGTCACTCTCCCCGTGGAGCAGGGGAAGGGATGAGCTTATTCTCCTCTAGGCATCCGTTCACTCTGGTGAGTACTAGTAGAGACCAATACTAATAAATAGAAGGGCTACATAACACAGCTATAAAGGACATTATTGGGACAACTGGGAAATTTAAATGTGGCCTACGTAGTAGACGATAGCATTACATTGATGTTACATTTCCTGACTGTGATTATGTTAGGAGAATACCTTGTTCTTAGGATGTACATGCTGCAGTATTTAGGGGTGAAAGATCACAATGTATAAAACTAACTCTCAAATAGTTTAGGAAATATATAGATGTATGTACGTATATATATATATAGAGAGAGAGAGAGAGAGAAAGTAAATGTGGCAAAATGTTAATAATTGGTAAATCTAGATGAAGTGTTATGGGTATTCAGTGTACTGTTTTTTTGGTTTTTTTATTGATATATAATAGCTGTACATATTTTGATACCTGTATGCAATGTGTAATGATCAAATCAGGGTAAGTGATACCGTCGCCTCAAACATTTATCTTTTCTTTTTGTTGGGAACTTTACAAATCTTCTCTTCTAGCTATTTTGAAATATACAATAAGTTATTGTTAATTCAATGTACTAATTTTACAACTTCTTTAGGTCTTAAAATTTCATAATAAAAATTTGGGGGGAGGAATCACTATCACATACTTATTGAGCAATTAATGGATCCCAAAATTTATGTAGCTCTATTATCTGATTTAATCTTCAACCCCACAGAAAGTCATTGATTTTCATATCAAAGATAAGGAAACTGAGTCCCAGAGAGGGTAAGGAACTTGCCCAAGTTCACAAAGCTGAGATTAAAACAGAACCCAAAGAAAGAGGGAGGTCCCATGGAGAAGTGCTGTTGGGACAAGGACAGCAAACATTTTCTGGAGCACTCACACATAGTGTAGGTTGGTGCTGTCTCCTTTGAGGGCCATTTGGCAACATCTTTTGAAATTTAAAATCCACATTGTGTTTAGAGCTAGTGATTCCACTTCTAAGTATTAAACCATAAAAATAGTCCCATATGTGAAACAAGAAGTATGTATTAAGGTACTCATGGTAGCAAGGTACATAAGAACCAAAGATTGGAAACATCTCAAATATTCATCATTAGGAATATTAGGAAACCACTAAAAAAGGCAAAGGAGGTCTAAATGCTGATATGTCACACTTCGAGTCAACAAATGATAATGTCAAGAGAAAAAAAGCAAGAGATATTTCTTTAGTATTAAAATGTAGATGTGGGCCAGGCTGGTGTCTCACACCTGTAATCCTAGCACTTTGGGAAGCTGAGGCAGGAGGACTATTTGAAGCCAGGAGTTCAAGACCAGCTTGAGCAACATAGCAAGACCTCGTCTCTACAAAAATAAAAATAAAAATAAAAATAATTAGCCGGGCATGGTGGCTCATGCCTGCAGTCCCAGCTACTCAAGAGGCTGAACTGGGAGGATTGCTTGAGTCCAGGAGTTTGAGGTTGCAGTGAGCTACCATGATGCCATTGCACTCTAGCCAGGGCAACAGAGTGAGACCCGTCCCAAACAAACAAACAAACAAATAAAAAAAAGTGGATGTGAATACATGCACATGAATACATATGTATTACAAATACATATGAATACATGAATACTTATGTATGCATAAAATATGTTCAAAGGACACACACAAAAACTTTTAACAATAGTTGGGTTGGGGAGGGGTGATCTCGGGGAGAAAGGACAGGATAGGAGGAAGACATTTTTCATGGTTAACCCTCTGTATTAGTTGAAATATACACCATGTGCCTGAATACCTATTAAAAGTGGATAAATAAATGAATGAATCTCCCTGTAGCAAAATCCAGACGACTTGCTTTTGAGCTTCCTTAGGCAACTTCTGGAGTGTTGAAAGGGATAGCAGGGGCCAGTGTCCCACAGAATGCTGGCTGATCTATACCAGTCCCCAAGAGCTATAAAGCCATTTGCAAATTCAGCCCTTGGAGTCCCACTGGCCCAGTTAAACTTTCACCCTCAGCCTCCTGGACTACCAGGACCAGCTTTCCTTAGTGTTTGTGCTCTGAAAATTGTGCATGAGAATCCGCCGCAGAGCTTGTTAGGCAATTTCCCTGTCCCACCCCCAGATGCAGATTCAAACCCGGGGTGGGGCCGGGGGATTCTTCACGGGTCCCTGGGCTGAGACTTCCAACGCCCATTTGGAGAAACAAGCCCTGCTGGTGATTTGCTTCTGTTCAGGCCTTGACTGAGATTGCCTGCAGGGTTGGGGAAGAAAGCTGTTTTGAAACGCGGATCCTTCGCAGCAAGCCTGTCTATTTGCATCTTCCTTACCTAACCAAATGTTGAGGGTTCCAATTCCCTCTGGGTGTGGGATTACATTGGGTGAACCATGGGACTGCTAAGGCCAGCGGAGGGCACGCTGATGACTGCCCTGCTAGCTGCCTGGCAGGCAGTGTCCTGCCGGCCTCTCTGGCTTCCTGGCCAGAAAATAAATAATACGTACATAAGCAAGTTACCCTCTGGGCTACGGTGACTTTATTTTTTCTCCTTCTCTTCCAAATTACAAAACAGAACATTTGGTCTGCCAGTGGGACAGACTGTTCGAAATAAGGACTTCTGTTCCAAATATCCGGGCGTTACAGTTCTTACAGGTGGCCAGACAAATCCTTTGGCGGGGAAGGTCTGGTCTGGTCCCCCAGCCTGCGCGGGTCCCAAGCTATTATTAATATATTAATATTTGGGGCGGTGCAGATCCCAGGGGCGCCCTGGCAGCCCCTCGCGGCAGCTGGCTCAGCCTCCGCAGAGAGCTCAGGGCCTCAGTCGAGGAGACCGCCGCCGCCCCGGGACCCCGCAGCCCTCCCCGCCGCCCCAGGGACGAGCCCAGCGGTGCGGAGAGGTGGGAGGCTGGGGCCTGCTGAGGTCATTTCCTGTGCCTCTCCGCGAGCTGCCTGCAGAGCCGAGCTCCGCGCTCTGCCTTTAAGGAGCGGGAGGGGAGCCGAGGGGAGGAGGGAGCCCGGCGGAGCGTTGAATGGGGCGCCGCGAGGCTCGGGCAGCTTTGTGCAGCGAGCCCGCGGGCACCCCTCCCGCGCCAGCCTCGGCCCGCCCCGCCCACCGCGACCCCTGCTGCAGGGGAGCGGAGACCCGGCGGCCGCTCGGGACTCGGACGAGAGCGACGCAAGGTCAGCGGCGGCGGCGCGCCGAGGGCGCCCGTGTGCCGGGTGCGCGGCGAGGACGCCCGCCAGCTCGCGGAAGGTGAGCGGCTCTGCGCGCCCGCCGGCCGGGGGTGGACTCGGGGGTGTGCCGGCCGGGGAGGGCGCTAGGCTGGGCGGCGGGGACGCGCTCCCTCCGGCCGGGAGGGCGACCCGGAGCAGGTGCCTCCGTACCTGGGAGCGAGCTCCCAGCGGTGGGGAGCGCCGGGAGCCGCGGCCGGGCTTGGGGAGCCGGGAGCCCCTGGAGACCCGCGCCGCGAGGTCAGAAGTAGCCTTCCTGGGGAGGACCTGGAGTTTGGGACTGGCTCGATCAGTTGTTCTCGGGAAGCGCCCTCGAGGCATACGTGCAGGCTCCCACTTTGTTGTTGGCGCTCGCTCGCTTTCACCCCTCCCGAACCCCTCCCCACCTCACCTTAGGTTTTTTCTTTTATTTCCCCTGTAATTTCTGGGTGGTTCTATTAGGGGGTCCAATAGGTCAGGATCGACTCTTAGAGGCCGGTCAGCCAAGCAGAAAAGAGAACAGGTTTGGCTCCGAATGACACCTGGAGCATTATGTCCTAGGAGTCTTAGGAATCGGTCACCAGAGACCGAGGTGGGGTGGGGGAACCTAATAGGGGTGGCAGAGGCGGTGAGAACGCTCATCTGGAAGAAGAATCCTCTTGTTGGATTTCTATCTGCCAGGGTATCTTCTTCGTAAGCTTTTTGCTATGAATCCGCCACATGAAACTCTTCCGGATAGAGCCTTGATTCCAAAAAACGCTGGAAGATCATTTAAATAACTCTCTCAATGGAAGAGTTATCAGTTCCTTCAGTCAAACTTTTTGGACCATATTCTATGTGCCAGACACTGTGTGTAGTGCTGGTAACATCACTTAACACTTTAGAGAACATCAATTTTAGTGTTTCCACGTATTATTTAATCCCCATTTTACAAAGGAGGAAACTAAGACTCAGAAAAGTGACTTGCTCAAGGTCACATAGCTGAAAAGTGGAAGAGAAATGACTGCAACCCAAGCCTCCTTCCTAAATTACAAATGTAGGGTTTGGTCCACTATCTGCCACCCTCCCACAGGCCACTGCAGGGGTCTGCTTAGAGCTGGCTTATGGTGGGGTGCACCCCATGGTTCTCAAATTCATTGAAACCGGCAACTGAGCTAAAAACCTGTGGTGCGTTTTTCGCCCTCTTCAGAAGTCACCAGCTACAGGGGAGAAGTATGTCCCTCCCACCCCACTCCCCCGTGGCGCCTTCCTCGGTACCATTCCCTTTCTTTTCTCTAGGGGGCTGAGCTCCGTGTGAACGTGTGCTCCTTAGGGGTTGGAGATGCAGGCTTTATTCCTGTGGATGCTAAGGTGCCAGGATTCCCTCACCCCTCTTTTGGGTGATTTCACCAAAGGCTGCCTGCTGAGCCAGCCGCTGGGCCATCTTGCCTGTCTATCAAAAACTAGTTCAAAACTGACCTCCTCTGTGGGGAAGCAGGCACTTATGCCTGGCTGAAGCATGAATTAGGAGAACCTCAGGGGAGGGCAATTTGAACTGTCTGGCAATTTCTAGTGCCAGACATCCCTTTGAATTCTACAATTAAATTTAAATTCTACTTATTTAAATTCGACCACAATTCCATTTCTGGGACTTTATCCTTTAGATATACTCTGATGTATGTGAAATAATGTGTATCATATGAAATTATGTGAAATGATATGTATCACTGAATATTCATTGCAGCTTTGTTTATTTTAGCAAAAGGTTGGAACATCCCAAATGTCCATCAGTAAAGGGCCCTTAAATAAGATCATATAACGGCCACACAATAGAACATGTTAAAGCTCTTAAAAAGCACAGAGGGGGAACCAAAGCAGAAGGATTGCTTGAGGCCAGGAGTTCGAAGCTACGGTGAGCTATGATCATGTCCCTGCACTCTAGCCTGGACAACAGAGCGAGACCGTGTCTCTTAAAAAAAAAAAAAAGGCACGGAGAGAAAATGTGGCAGATGTGGGTGTTGATAGAGGAAGATTTCTAAATTAATTTGTTAAGTACAGTGTGTATGCCACATATATGTGAATGCTTGTATAATATATACACTATCTCTGAGAGAACATACAAAAACCCCTAACAGTGGTTGCCTCTGGGGAGAACCATGGCTAAAGTATAGGAATGGGAAGAAGCCTTATTTTGCACTGCATACCCTTTTGTTCAATACTAAAAAATAAATAGATACAATAATTTTTAAAAATCACATGACCTCCTCCTTGAGGTGGATCTGGTGGTGAGCACATCTATGGGCTACATCTCTTATGTTGGTTTGCCATTTATTCATTGATAGTAATAATAGCTGTCATTTATCAAGTGCTTACTGTGCACCGGGCTTTTGTGATATCTCTTTTAATTCTCAAGAAAATCCTGCATTATGTAATCTATGGAATTGCCATTTTTGAAGGTCAAAAAATGGTTAAATGTTGACAATTTCCACAACAAAGCCCTCCAAAAAAAAAGTTGGCGGTTTCATATGGCTCAATCTAATATTAGTGCCCTCATTTTCTTTTTTTTTTGAGACAGAGTCTCACTCTGTTGCCCTGGCTAGAGTGAGTGCTGTGGGCGTCAGCCTAGCTCACAGCAACCTCAAACTCCTGGGCTCAAGCTATCCTTCTTCCTCAGCCTCCCGAGTAGCTGGGACTGTGCCACCATGCCCGGCTAATTTATATATATATATATATTTTTTATTAGTTGTCCAGATCATTTCTTTCTATTTTTTTTCTTTTAGTAGAGACAGGGTCTTGCTCTTGCTCAGGCTGGTCTTGAACTCCTGACCTTGAGCGGTCCACCCGCCTTGGCCTCCTAGAGTGCTAGGATTACAGGCGTGAGCCACTGCGCCCGGCCCCAGTGCCCTCATTTTCAAATACCGTTGCCTTGAATTTCAAAATGGAACTGAGGTTCAGAGAAGTTGGGCAAATGGCTTAAGGTCACGGGATTATTTAGTGCCTGAGCCAGTAATCAAACCCAGGCCTATTGGTGCCAGCTATTTTTGTTCTCAAGGGGTGCCGTACCTGGTTGTCCTGGCCCTTTCTTTCAGTATTTAGATCCCTGAAGCCTGGGACATGCTCACCTCTTTCTTTGTCTCCCCCAACATAGTGTGAAATGTGATGCAGGCACCCAGTAGCGGTCAAATGCATGTTACTGGCTTGGTCAGATGACAATGCTGAGATCAGAGGGAGTTGTCCCCTGTGTCTGCTCCTCCCAGCTCCATCCCCAAAAGGGAACACAAAGCTCTTCATTTCCCACAATTGGGCAAAGCTGTCAGCTTAGCCTAGCAGAGCACTTTTAGGAGATGGTGGTAGCCTATCACTAGCAAGTGGAAATCACAAAAGATACACTCAGGGAATGAACCATAGTAGGGTAACACAGGAGAGCTCAGTAGAAATTGTACACATAACAGAAGCCCTGTTATCTTCTGATGTCTCCTGCATCCTCTGCAAGATACAAACAATCAGCTTTCTGGGGCCTGCAATGATCTCTGACCTCTTCCTTTAGGCTCCTGTACTGGTTAGCTACGTTGCAGGGAGATACCAAGATATTCAGACTATAGACTTGAGCCTTGAAAACCACAGAATCTTTTTTTTTTTTTTGAGACAGAGTCTCACTCTGTTCCCCGGGCTAAAGTGCGGTGGCGTCAGCCTAGCTCACAGCAACTCAAACTCCTGGGCTCAAGCGATCCTCCTGCCTCAGCCTCCCAAGTAGCTGGGACTATAGGCATGCGCCACCATGCCCGCCTAATTTTTTCTATATATTTTTAGTTGTCCAGCTAATTTCTTCCTATTTTTTAGTAGAGACGGGGTCTCACTCTTGCTCAGGCTGGTCTCGAACTCCTGAGCTCAAACGATCCACCCGCCTCGACCTCCCAGAATGCTACGATGACAGGCGTGAGCCACCACGCCCGGCCCACAGGATCTTTATTCATCTTTATATCCTCAACCTTGCACATAGGAATCACTGAAAAGTTGGTTGAATTTAAATTTATTTGTTTATTTTTAATATATACCTACCATGGAATACTAGGTCGAATTAAATTTAATCTCAGCATTTTGTCAGTTTCTGGTCAAATCCCCAAACTTAACAGAGAGATCCCAAGACAAATTTGTGTTTGCTCAGATATAGGCCCTGAGTTTGAAGTCATTTAATGACTCCGTGTGTCTTCTTCTCACTACCCATCCTACCCCCAGCTCCTGCCTCTGAGGCACATCCCTACTGTGGCTTCAGTCTAGGGTGTTGGAGGATTTAGGGAATTCCAAAGCAGGCGTCAAGGCCATGGCGGCCATATGGCTCACCTTCCCAGTAGTTTAGTGTGCTGGGCACCAGTGGAATCCAAACAACTGGGTTTCACAAGAATGGCCATGAGTTGATGATCACTGTAGCTGTGTTTTGGAGACAGGAATTTATTGTACTATGCTCCCTACTTCTTATGTATGTTAAAGTGTTTCAGAATAAAAAATGAAAAGAACAATTGAGCTGAGTTTTGTTCCCCGCTCACTTCCCCTCTCTCTCATTTCCCCATTTATTTTTGCCATTAATGTTGTATTTATTTTAGGCTAGCCTGGTAGTATGAGACACCACCACTGCTAAAGTATTATCATGGAAAGAGGACAGTTCTAGATGTTGGGAGATCAGAATTCTTGGCCCTGCTCTGCTACTCCTTAGCTCGGTGTCTCTAAGCAAGTCATAGATGTGATGAGTGTTCTTGTCTGCTGATTGTGAATAATTGCACTTGTCCTCCATCTTGGGGATAATGAGAGAAATAACACACACATGACAGTGCCTTGAAAAGTTACGAACCGTTCTGCAAATATAAGGTATTCGTTTCTGCGTATCCTTGTGCATCTTTATGGGAGGTACAAGTGCAAGCTGACTGAGCAGGTGAGGTTCAACTCACTGGTATCTTCCCTTAACATCCCTTGTTTTATAGCTGTTGCTCCGACCACCTGCTTCTGTCGGAAGAGCCTCTGGGCCTTCAGCTTGGCAGCAGGCACCTTGCTCCAGATATGTTTCAAAACCTCTTGGCTCTCCTCACATGCCGAGGCAAGCCTAGCACGAGTCCCAGCCTCCTCAGGAACTTGCCAACATCCCCAAAGCAGGGAGAGGATTAACCATCCACTTGATCAGGTTAGAACTGTGATGTCATGGAGATGCTTGACTGGAGAAAGCACTCCTAAAGTTCAGGGATAATCTCGGAGATCAGGGGTAGGCAGACAACAATGACATATTTTATTTCCAAAGTCCCTGGAGATTTTGATAATTCGGGTTTTCACTCTGTCCATGGAATCTAAGCAGCAGCTTTGATAATCAGTAGGTGGGAATTAAAATTAATCAAACTGTTTCAACTACACAAAGGATTAAGTTTCTCCTGCCCCTCCATATTACTTTTGTGCTTTTACTGTTGTTCTTTAGCCCTGGGCTAAGTTGCAAGACTCGCAGGTCCTAGTCTCAGATCTGCCATTTTTTTTTCTATTTATACAAGGAAAAGCACAATCTCCTTAAAGGACAAAGAAAATCAAACATGAAGCCTCCCAGCCTTCTCTGGGAGCCCTATAAGGTTCTGTTGTCTTTTCAGCTGTGATCTTAGCTCAGAGAAGGTCATGTTTTGTTTTTGTCTTTTGTCTTCCTGCCCGTTCCAGTTGGTCCCAGTCTTTTGAGGTGGGGATCGCTGGAAGGTCACAATGTCGGGATTGTTTGGGTGATAGGGCTGGGAGAGGGGAGGGCTGAGGTCATGTGTGCAGTGTTCTGAGGAGCCAGAACCGGAAGACTCAAGACACCCCCGCCTGTCAGTGGTTTAATTGTTGGGCCTTTCTCTACAGACCTATGGACCTTAATTTTTAAATGAAAAATCAGGACACATGGTAAGTGTCAGTGCTTATGGAGATTATGAGGTCAGGATATTTGAGCCCAGGATGCCTGGGAAAATCTGGGATATAGATTCACCCTAGTGCTAGGGCTTCTGAAAGATCCAACAAAGTATTTCTCTCATTGACAGTCCACTTCGCTCTTTGAGAAATCAGAATTCTTTCCATTTTTTGGATGGGTAAAGAGCACAGTGGCTAAGAACAAGGACTTCAGAACCAGAATTCCAGCCTCACTACCTACTAGCTGTATAACTACCTAAATTCGCTTCTCTGTTCCTCGGTGTCCTATTGTGTACCTGTGGACAATAGTGCCTGCCGATTGTCTCATCGGCTTCATGAGGATTAAAGAGGATACACATGCCTGGCATACAATAAGGACTCAATAAATGGTAGTTATTTGTAATGTATAATGAGAGGAAGATACCTGTAAAGGTCAAATGTGAGGGGAGAAGCACTATTGGTGATACACTCATCAAAAGAAGGCTTACTTTGCACTATGATCTTGTTTGGCAACAGTACAGGAGGTGGCTGGGTTTTCCGAGGCCATGTGGCTCCTGAGGAAGGAAAAGGGGATTTAAAAAAACAACAGATTTTTATTATGGAAAATTCCAGGCATATATTCAAGTAGAGAGACCAGTATAAAGAACTCCCATATACCCATCTTCAAGAATTATCAACATTTTGACAAATCTTATTTGATGTGTCTCCACTGCTTCTTACCTCTAACCACGGAAGACTTTAAAGCAAATACCAAACATTATATCATTTCACCTGTAAATCCTATTTATCTGTAACAGATGACATTAAAAAAATATTAACCTAAATATTAACAATCATTCCTTAAAATAATCTAATACTAAGGTGGCTATATGTCATGGTTTGGGACAGACCAAATTTATGCTTATTGCCAAGTGTCATTATTGATGCCCTAGAAGAAGGGGGATTTTTAAAATCCTGATGATGGACGTGTCTCCCAGGCCTCTTCTCCTTCTGCTCACTCTGCCAGTACCTCTTCTCCCACGTACACTCAGCCATCCTTTTCCCTATTCTCATCCTCCACCCAGTTTTTCTTTTCTAAAATATGTCCAGGAGGCATCTAGGTAAATCCCCCTGGCTGGGGATATTATAGGTGTCTACTAGATTTGTTCTGCATTTGTACCAAGTTTTTTTCCTGAAGACTTGTGTCTTTCTCTAGAGGCCGCAGCAAAATATCTAGCAGTTTTCTGGTTTGCATCTTATAACTTGAAGGAGAGGAGAGGGTAGGAGGAATCCGTTCCAAACCAGGATGATTCAGTGACAACAATTGGCAGAATCCCAACTAAATAGAAAATTGTCAAGGAAATGCAAAGTATTATATTTTCTTTCTATTTTTTTCTCATCTAACATCTACATAGGTGGAGTAGAATAAGAAATAAAGTGGGAGCCAGGATTCTGCCTCTCATTAGCTATGTGACTTTGGATGAATCTGTTACCCACTTTAAGCCTACCCCAAACACATCCCCCCTCCCAAGTCATTCCCCTTCCCTGTCCCCGTGTATCCATATATCAATTGGCAATTATGACTACATTGCAATTTTGTAATTAGACTTTCCTAAGAGTTCCTTGAAAAACTCAAAGACAGAGGACATCTTATTTACTTTCGCATCTCCAGGGCCTAGAACAATGTCTGGCACACACACGGTTGTTGAATGGATAAGTATGTGTTAAATGGATAACTGAATGAAAAACAAATGAGCCCTACTTTTTTTTTTTTTTTTTTTTTTTTTGGTCTCTAAACCGTTTATTTTCCCTGCAGGAGGACTGGGTGTCGGGGGGCGGGGCGGGGGGGCGGACATGAACACTGTGGATGGCGGGCCCAGGCCCGGCCAGCGCGGCTCAGGCGAAGGTGGAGTTGTTCCAGCCCACGTTGGCCGCGTTCATGTCGTAGTAGTTGATGTAGACCCTGTCCGGGCTGATGCGCAGGCGCTCGGCCAGCAGGCCGCAGAGCAGCTTGCTGTAGCCGCGGTTCTGCGCGCCGCCGCCGATCTTGCCGATGCTGTGCAGGCTGCAGAGCGCACACGGCTCGCTGGAGCCGCCGAAGGCCATGAGCTGGTCCGGGACCACGTGCACCGCGATGTACTGCGGAGGGAGGGCGCAGTGAGCCCGCCTCAGCGACCGCGCAGAGCCCCGGCGTCCACTTCGGGCCCGAGCCACCGTCCCCCCACCCCCGCCCCGCCCGAAGTCGCCTTCCCAGACCCCGGCCCGGGACCACCCAGCCGGCGGGCACGCCGCTTCCGGTCCCCTCGCGGCAAACCTGGGGCGGCTTGCCCGTGGCCTGCGCCAGCTGCTGGGTGAGCTCGGACAGGAACCCGTCCGGCACCGAGGCGCGGGGAACGTTGGTGTTCACGACGAACATGGGCATGGTGGCAGACGAGCAGCAACACCGGCACCGGCACCGGGACAGACGCACAGACTCGAGCCCTACTTTTTGCTTCTGTCAAAATGCGACTAGGTCCTCCGTAAGGTTTCTCAGGTTTCCTGGTTTCCAGAGGCTGTCAACTGTCAACTGTCCCTAACTTGGGACTGAGCAGGATAGCCTGCGCTGAGAAAGACAGGGATGTGGCCGAGGGGGAACAGGGACGGACTCCCTTCCCCAATCCTGTTTTCTCTGTCCTGCTTTGGTCCCCTCCCGTCCTTTCTGTGCTGAACTCCTTCTCATGCTCTCATTTCTCTTTTCCTCTCTTTGTGTGCTGGTTCTTAGGGCTCCCTGGACTATCCAGAAGCCGATTCTATCATGGCAGAACTCAAGGTGGAGACTCGGGCCAGTGTAGACTGGCAGAAACGCTGCCTGGCCCTGGAAACACAGCTTTTCCGGTTCCGCCTCCAGGCCAGCAAGATAAGGGAGCTGCTGGCTGACAAGGTGAGTCCCAGGGAGCAGGGAGCTGCCTCTCCTTGTGGCAGAGGTCTGTGGCAGAGCGGGCCAGTGTTAGAGAGGAAGAGTCGGGGAAAATAAACTTTCCATAAGATGCTTTGCAGCACATGCAAAGTGAAACCCGAAGTAGTTTGTTTTGTTTTGAGATCAAACTCTGAGCAATTTCCTAAGCTGTCATCTTGCATTCTTTTCTGCCCTGCCTCATCTGGCACACCAAAGGAATGGTGCAGATCTCCTTGGTCCTCCACCACCTCTGGAGTCACTTGTGGCTACCGTGGAGAGGTTCTATCATTCCCTTAACATTTCTTCCTCGGCGCAGGGGAGGATGATGTTTTAGGAGAGAAAAGTGGAAATCTCCACCCTTCTGTTCACCCTTTATTAAGCATATGAGCTACAGAAGGCAGCCTGGTTTCCTGGTGACAAGGACACAGGCTTTGGAGCCAGACCTACCTGGTTCTGCCGCTTACTAGCTATTGTGACCCTGGGCAAATCCCTTCCTTTCTAAGGCGAGAACACAAATGTCTACCTCTCAGAGTTATTTTGAGAATTATATCACATCACATATATAAAGGTCCTGGCACGGAATAGGTCTTAAATTGGAAAAATTTTTTCTTTAGTCTTGGGTGGGCTGGTCTGGGAAACTGACCACCTTTCATAATGTTTCTATGGGAAGATACATTCTAAACAACTGACTTTCAGAGATATTTTTGAGCATAACCCATCTAAAGAGTGGAGACCTGCACTTAAAATATATTTATATACATATCTTGGTTGGGCATGGGCATCCTAGCACTCTGGGAGGCCGAGGCAGGAGGATCAATTGAGCTCAGGAGTTCGAGATCACCTTGAGCAGGAGCGAGACCCTGTTTCTACTAAAAATAGAAAAAATTAGCTGGGTGTGGTGGCCAGTGCCTGTAGTCCCAGCTACTTGGGAGGCTGAGGCAGGAGGATTGCTTGAGCCTGGGAATTTGAGGTTGCTGTGAGCTAGGCTGATGCCATGGCACTCTAGCCCAGGTAGCAGAGTGAGACTGTGTCTCAAAAAATAAAAAATATATTTATAGACATATCTTGGGTGAATTAACCATTCTTTACAGTTTTGTTGATAGTATCTATCTGTTTAGCAAACCCTTCTTTCATAGTTCAAAGGTAAAATTCAGCTCACCCCTCTGTAAGTAATATCAAATCTTGATTAGTAAAGCCTGAATAAGTGACCTTTTTTTTTTTTTTTTGATAGCTCTATAACCTGGAGTCCTGGAAAACAAGTCAGTGGTATCATTATGGCTATGGGGAGTGGTCCTGGACTAGCCTGGACTAAAACTCTTGAACCTTGGGTCTGTTGGCATTGTAGTTCCTGCTAGGTACTGCCGATAGAAAAGGTAAATTCAGCCATATCAGGGAAGGGCACAGGCCTTAGACAGTGGTTCTCAAAGAGTGGTCAGAACCACTTTGCCAGAACCCCCTGGAGAGCTTGTTAAGTGTGTATATTGCTGGGCCCCACCCCAGTCGTCTTGGGGTGTTGTTAATAATATACTGTGTTTAACAAGCTCCCAGGAAATGGTTTTTACACTGTAAAGTTTGAGGGCCCGGCCTCAGGCTATGGCACTGGGAGAGGAGTGTGAGAGAAGGAAAGGATAGGTAGGGATGGAGTCAGCCGAGAGGTCTGACTCAGAGGGAAGAGACTTCTGTTTCTAGTAATATGGACAACAGAATAACCTAAAAAAAAAAAAAACCCTGCTATGAAACACCTAGAAATTTCAGTCCATGCTGACAAATGTACTAAAAAAGAAAAAAAGAAAAAAAAAGAAACACCTAGAAATACTAGATTAAATATTTAAATTATCCTATGCAGACCTGAGCTGAACAAAGTAAGAAGGAAAAATGGAGTGGTTCTCAATTCTGGCAGCTGGGCCTGGGGGCTCCCTACAATAACTTAAGGTTTGAGGTTTGAATTTTAACATCTGTGGAGACAGAGATGAGATGTAGCCAGTTGGAAGTTGGAGCTGAAACAGACTTCCGCATAAAATCAGGACTATTAAAGGACTCATTTTAATAAAAAGGTAGACAAGAAAAAGAAAATCACCCACCAGCACACGGAGATGACAACAGCATCTCAGACTTAGTTAAGGCTCTGGTAGAAAAAAACAAAAGTACCGAGAAAGAAAAGTCTTCCCTGAGAACCAGATGATGATACTGGTTTAACATTAGCATTTATACTACGTGTGTGGTTCAGGAAGCCTAAGTTGAGGCCAGTGATACCCTTGGGAAACCTTATAGGAACAGAAACAAAACCTCAAGAAACCAGACCTCAACCCAGATCACACAGAATCTCCACAGGAAAAAAAAAGCCTAGTGAAGAGGAATATATAATCCAAAATGACTAAATACTTGAGGGAATAACCTACAGTGAATGAGAATCCATGTATACGCAAACAATTGGACTAGACTTCCAAGAACTTCTAGTAATAGAACTGTTGGCAAGAGACTATAAAATAAATGAGTTCAAAACTTTCAAAGACATAACAAAGAAATTGAAAACATAAGGGCAGGCACAGTGGCTCATGCCTGTAATCCCAGCATTTTGGGAAGCCAGCGCGGGAGGATCACTTGAGGCCAGGAATTCAAGACAACATAGCAAGACCCCTTCTCTACAAGAAATAAAAAAATTAGCTGAGCATAGTGGTGCCCTCCTGTAGTCCCAGCTATTTGGGAGGCTGAGGCAGGAGGATCACTTGAGCCCAGGAGTTTGAGGTTGCAGCGAGCTATGATCGTGCCACTATATTCCAGCCTGGGTGACAGAGCGAGACCCTGTCTCTTAAAAAAGAAAGAAAGAAAGAAAGAAATTGTAAACATGAGACAAGAACAAAACACTATCTGTAAAGATTAGGTAGACTTGAAAACCAAGTAAAACTTCTGAAGTGAAAGTGTTTTCATTGAAATTAAATTTTCCATGGAAAGATTAGACATCAGATTAGACACCATTGATGATAGACTTAATGAACAGCAAGACAGACCTAAGGAAATCATCCCAGAATGCAGCCCAGAGAAATAAAGATACAGAGGCTGAGATGTGGATGCTAGAATGACAAGATTCTGTATCCACCAAATAAGATTCCAGAAGTGGAGAAGAGAATGAAGGAGAGGCATTACTTGAAGAGATAATGGCTAAAAAGTTTCCAAACTTGGTGAAAGGTATGACACCTCAGATTCAGAAGCAGAATGAGTCTAAACAGTATGAATTTTTAAAAAGCCATGCCTCCTGTATTAGCTAGATGATAGGTTGGCTGCTATTAATGTAAGAACGAACCCAAAATAACAATGGCTTAGACCAGACTGACATTTCTTTCTTTCTCATGTAACATTCCAGGCATAAGCAGTCCAGCTCTAGGACGATGTCCTCTCATGTTTGAAGATGGTTCACTCCATATCCACATTCCAGCCCCTTCCCTGCAAGTCTGTGACCCAGAGATTGCATCTATTCTTTCTGCTCCTTTCCTGTTGGCCACATCTTATTCACATGGTTACACCCATCTGTAAGGAAGGTTGGGAAATGTAGTCTTTATTCTGCGTAAGCATGTGCTCAGCTAAAAGTTGAGGGTTCTGTTTATGTAAGAAAGAAGGAGAGAACAGATACGAGGGAATAACCAGCAGTCTTTAGGTCTAGAACAACAGGAGGAATAATGAATAGAGATAGAATATATATAACTTTCAAATCAGTAGAGCAGGGAATTAGAATAAAGGAAGTCTATTAAATCCAGGTAGGGAAGAGAAAAAAATACGTAGAGAAAAAAGGAGTAAATAGAGGGGACAAAATGCAAGGGTAGAAATAAACCCAAATATATTGGTCACAAGGAAACTTATACAAGAATGTATATTGCAGCATTGATGTATGAAAAATCAGAAATATTTAAATATCAATAGGGGATAGATATACATATTTGTATAGTGGAATACTACAGTATAGTTAAAAATGAGTCAAATAGAGGTACATGTGTAAGATCAGTAAATCTCAAAACCCAACACTGAACAAAAAACATCAGAAAAATAATTACAGTATAATACAGTTTATACTGTAACCTTGCAAAACCTGCAAAAACAGTACTATCTATTGTTTATTACTATCTTTTGTTTCTCATCCCAGCTACACACTCATCGATTTTATATATTTGAGAATAAACATGATTTTAATTGAACAAAAGGTTTGCTGCTAAAAAAATTATCAAAAATCATTGTGTTGTTGTTGAGACAGAGTCTCACTCTGTTGCCCGGGCTAGAGTGCTGTGGCGTTAGCCTAGCTCACAGCAACCTCAAACTCCTGGGCTCAAGCAATCCTTCTGCCTCAGCCTCCCGAGTAGCTGGGACTACAGGCATGTGCCACCACGCCCCGGCTAATTTTTTCTATATATTTTTAGTTATCCAGCTAATTTCTTTCTATTTTTTTTTTTAGTAGAGACAGGGTCTTGTGCTTGCTCAGGCTGGTTTTGAACTCCTGAGCTCAAGCGATCTTCCTGCCTCGGCCTCCCAGAATGCTAGGATTACAGGCGTGAGCCACTGAGCCTGGCCAAAAAAATCATTGTCATTGATTACAACTGTTAAAACTGTTTAATAGCTAACCTGGGGGTTGCAGACTCGGATGTTTACAGGTAACTTAGATAAATGAGACCGTGAAGAGAGCCAGATGGGTTCTGGAAGAACACAAGGGGATGGGCTGAAGCCACTTACTGCCATAAGAATATATAGCCCTAGGTATTTTTACCAAATGCAAATGAGGCAAAAATATAAACACAACCAAGTTTACCAGAGGGGGCAAAGTACACAGGGCTTGAACTGTATCCGTCATGGTCCATTTCTTTTTTTTTTTCCCTTCCTTTCTTTTTTTTTTTTTTCGAGATAGGGTCTTGCTCTGTTGCCCAGGCTAGCGTGCAGTGACGTCAGCATAGCTCACAGCAACCTCAAACTCCTGGGCTCAAGCCGTCCTCCTACCTCAGCCT